TTGGCTTCTCACTATTGATGTGCACCGGTAGTCGGGTACCCAAGCTACCCGTGAGGACCTCGGGTAGACGGATACAGAATAGTACCTGAAAATCCGAAGTCGCAGATGACATCATGTACAGTTCACGTATACAATTTCATGTTCGTGCGCATGTCTACCCAGTGTGTAAGGGAAGGAGTGCATTGTGGTGTTACCATGGAAACATTACCCGATAGGGTACTCATGCTGCCCGTGGAAAACTACCCGAACCCGATACCCGAAGAAAATGCTACCAGACTCAGCCCTATTTCTAACTCCTGCTTTGGCTTTGGCATTTACTGTTGCATGTTGACAATACTGTAACTTGTCAAGCATGAACTACTGTAAAAGCAGAAATTTTCGGTGGTGTAATATTTTCGGTATTCTCCAAAATCGGCGGTTCGGTAGAGGGAAATTTTCCGTAAAACCCGTTTTCCAGGTAAGTGTACTAGTACTACATGTATACAGTATTGGTTGTACCGAAATTTTCGGTGCGTTTTATTTTCGGTAAAAATTGTCGGCACCGAAGTTACCGAAAATAAAACACCACCGAAAATTTCTGCTTTTACAGTACAACAGGCCCGTCGCACCGACTTTGGAGGTGGGGCGGCCATGTCCGGGGGCCCTCCCCCTTGAAAAATTTCAAAAATTGAAGCCAATTGCAAGCATTTCCGGGCATTTGGTGCCATTTCAGTGTAACTACAATGAAATACTTTTTGATTCTTCAACAAGCCAAGAAGACGCTACGATCGGGGACAAGGGTTCTTCAATATCCTCCCCCGGGAAAAATTTCAAAAATTGAAGCCAATTGCAAGCATTTTCAGGCTTTTGGTGCCATTTCAGTGTAACTAGTGCAAAGAAAGACTTTTTTGATTCTTCAATAAACCACGATCGGGGACAAGGATTCTTCATTATTTGCCACGTTTGGCCTGAGCTAGCTGCGATCTTCGCGCTTGCAGTGTGCTAAAAAAAGGCCGAAAAGGTGGGGCGGCCTCAGCCGCCCCAGCTGTGACGGCCTTGTACAAACGTAGATTGCTCTGTGACGAGAAAGGTGCATTGACCTTGTCATAGCACCAAGAGTTCTGTGCGTCTAAGTTGTTGCCTGGCACGCATAAGTATTCTTTTTGTCGTACATAATGGGGACTCAAAGTTCGTAAAAGATAATAGTCGTGCCTTCAATTGACCGTTAGTATGGTGGGCTCATCGAGATCACGGGCAACTTTCCTGGGTGAATGCATCCCTGCAAGGGGGAGAGCTGGAGAAAGTAAATATCCATGAGGAAGGTTGTCCTTGACAAGAGGAAATCCCGTGGTAGGATGTCTTTACTGTCAACTTTGGCTTCACACAGGACTACTGAAAGCGGGGAACTTTCGCTTCCTGCTATTTTTTGAAAATTTCGCAATTTATCTTTTCTGTCGGATTCTGTGTATCATTTACAGCGATACACCTAGCAATTAGGGCCCGGTCACACATGCACTGGGG